GAAAGAGTTCAATTACATGGATAAATTTGCTATCAACCAGTTACAGTCTCATTCTTTTTCCATTTGATGCAGAATACCCAGTTATTCCCTTGCATATACTAGCCATTCTCAGAGCCAGGATATATTTGATTCCAAGAGCTGACAAGAATTCAGGAATTACAGGTACTCTGTGCATTAGTCAGGTTGCAGGTGTATGTGGCAGCATTTAGATGCCTACATTATATGTTGAAAGTATCCATACTGCCTTCATATCTGAAGTACAGATGACAGTCTACTCCTGGATGGTGAAAAAGTAGCTTTCCAAATCTGGTCCCATTGGAGACTAGGTGTTTGTGTGACTTGATGGATAGTTCCTCCATCCAAGCAGTAGTAGCATGATTATTTATTGAAAATTATTTCAATGGAAGGTCTGAGTCTTGAAAGGACTGAGGCAAAGGATGGACAACTCAGAAAAATACAAGATGAACCTGAACCTTCACATATGACTAAAAACGAATGGAGCATAAGGGGATAGTCAAAATCCAAACAAGGAGATTCAACAGGAGGAACATGAAGGAACCAGGTTAGTAAAGGGCATTTAAATATTTCTCAAAGATCCCTATACATTTACCAAATTGAGAAGGAGATTCAGCTAAAGATGTTCATGAACATATTTGTTATTACTTATCCATCCAGAATTACCTATGCTGAGTGCACAACACTGCATGGCTGAAAATGAAAGTTCTCACAGAAATACACCTACTTGTCACCAAAACATTTCCATAGAGAAAACAAACATTTCTTACCAGCCCCTTCATGGTACTAGAGTATTTCATCCTTTACAGAAAAGGAGGCCTTACATTTTTCCATTTTTAAATTACTTTTCACTTTGGTGTCTTGCATTTTGTTGGGGAAAGCAGTATATAAAATAGGATCTAGTTAAGTACCATCATGAAACATGTCAGCTTTAAATAACATCATGGGTCATTTAGAATTATTTTTATTAAACAGTACTGTTTCATCGATGATTTTATTCTGTTACTTCATTTCATAATGGGAAAAAAAGCGCGAATGTTTCATGAAATAGAAAATGTGGTTCTAGCCTGCATGTGCTGAGACACGCTATTTTAATCATGGTATACAGAGAAGTATCCTTAGCTGAGGTGACAGACCAACGAGTGAATTCTACAACACCTGTGTGTCCCTAGTTCCTACGTGCATCTTTCTTAGAGGCAGCCCCTGGTGTGGTTTTGGTCTTGTTTCTGTCAAGCCAAGACCACTGGACAGGGAGAGAGGCAAAGACCTTTCCTTAGATTAAATGCTGGCAATTATAGCTAGTGTCACATCTGGAATTTCAGATAGGGAGCAAAAATTCAGGACATCTGAAGAAGAAGAGGACAAGCACCTTGAAAAATTAGGCTACCAGCTGAGATCTCTGATAACATTCTGCAACAGAAACCTAGAAATCTCATTAGAAATACAGTTCTCATGAAACTTCATCCAATCTTGTCTCAGAAATGAAGACAGCAGGCGAGCAACTAACTGTCAAGTTTGGCACCCTTCAGAATCAACACCTAGTGTGGGAGACAGAAAATCTGGACAGATAAAGCCTTACCTTGCTCTGGATGTAGATTTCTACATCTTCATCTGTGAATGGTTTCATGGCAAGATGGTCTTCGCTGCTTTCTAAAGTGTGAATTCACTCTTCACTTGTTCACCTGCCTCTGGAAGTAGGACACTCAGAGCGAGCTGCTCAGAGCCTTCTTGCCCTGTGAAGCCCAGGTCACCTAATTCCTCTGTGGATGAAGAAGAGGAGAGAGAAGCAAGGAAGTATGCCTATTTTTTTAAATTGTTTTTCTGATCTGAGTTACAATGGTGACACCCAGCTGCTTTGAAAAACTAGCTCCAAGTATTATTTTCTAAGTTCAATTGTTATTATTCATCTTATTACTTTTAAATGGTGGGTCTTGCATGCAGGCACACACAAAAATACCCGAGCTACTGCTCTGTCTCAGGGCAGATCGGGAAGAGCCTTTCAGATTGCACTGCAGATTCAGTATGCTGGTGCACAGCATTATTATTCTGTGTGCCACAAGTACTTCCCTGCCTCACTAGCCCTTCACTAAACCATTTCTTAAGCACTCTCAGCTATCCCTTGTTGACTTCAATCCACCCACTTTCCATCTGAAACTGCATGGGTAATTTTTACATTCAGACCATTCCTTTGGGTTGCAGTCTGCAGCCTTTGCTCCCCTCTGCTCCCCTCTCCTTATATCTCCTCTCTCTCTCCAGCTGTATTGACAGTAAATATCCTGCAGCCTGTCCCCTCCTGTAGTTTGCTTTGCTTTCTTTACAGTAAACAGACAGAAAGCTGTCTCTCGCTTTCTGCCAGCAGCTCAGCTAACAACCCCATATAGATAATTCAGAGGGAAAGACAATTGATCAGGCCTCATTGATCCAGAGAGGGTTGGTGGCTTTCAGAAAAAAGGGTACATCAGCACATGGAAGGGAGTGACAGAGTATAGAGATGAGATCCCAGGCTGCTAAGTGTTCCTTATTAAGGAAGGCACACTCCACTTTTGAGTAAAATAATTATTTTCCCCTGGAAACTGAACTTTGACATCCCTTGACTGATTTATTACCTCTACAGCAGCTGGTAAAGGCAGCACTTGGGTAGGCAGTGGCTGCTACCTCAAGGCAGGCACTGTTGTTGCTAGTTATCTTTCATGATGTTCCTTATTAACAGTCAAATACTAAGTACATTAATGAAGTAACAATACCTGCAGGACATGTGATTCCCTAGAATCTACAAATCAAGCCTTTCTCTGTGCCTCCCAGGCACTTGCCTTCATCTTTTTGCTGACGGACTTGAGTACCTCTTCACAAAGACATGTAAACATCTACTTCCCAAACCAGCTTCCATGGGAGTTGGTCATGAAAAAGATGAGCCCTCCAATTTTTAGGGAACCATACCTCACCCTTGCTCACTTCAGGACTTACTATCTTTAAGCTGAGGGGCTAGCAGCGTGTGCAAGCTCTGCTAGGGAAGCCAGACAAAAGGCAGGTTCTGAAAGAAGGTGAGTGGAACAATGGGTTAGGAAGGACTTGTAGGGGCAGGTTGGATGGGATTAAGTCCAAGCAGAGTGTGCAAGGGAGGAGAACGAGCCTTTTAAATGGTCGGATTCCGTTAAGTGTGTCCCTAAAACATGAAATCCTGTGTGCCCCCTCAGGCAGCTAGCTCTCCATGCAGAAGACAACTTCCTTAACACTTCTGATACCACACATTACTTTAATACTCAGAATTTCAGATGTGTTTTAGGAAGCACGAAGAGTGTCTTTCTTGCACCTATAAGGTCTCTCCTTGTGACAGCTGTCCAGAGTCACAGGTGCTGGCAGACAGATGAAGAAGTAGTTTTGGTCATTTTTCTTGTATACGACAGCATACCTTTTCTATTGGGAAGCACTTCCTCAAGAGAATCTGGATGTCCCCAGCTCCCCCTCCTCACAGTAAGGGAAGGTGGCATAAAGTCTTGGATAAGGACTGGATTTTTGGTTTATGTTCAAGCATATTTTAGTTCAAGTCCCAGCTTCATGTTGAAGTCCAAGGATCTGAGCAACAGTTCCTACCTGCTCCTGCCATCTGAAGAGAATAAATAACTCTCCCTTATCATCACTGTTAAGGAGGTGCAAGTGGAATGGCAGATGAAAAAGCAACAAGAAATCCAATACCAAAAGTAACGTTAAACACAGGCTTTTCTCAACTCTGAGAACTACTTGCTTCACTTGTAAGAATTTGCTGCTTCATATTTTCCTTGGACTTCGATGAATCCAAAGAAAGAAAAGAGGAGAACAACACAGAGTAACTGGATGCAGGAGATCATAGGAAGTGGACAACTTGCACCAAGTGCCTGTGGATTTTATTATGCTACTTATAGGATGAGAAGAGTACTGTTTGAGCGAAAATACTGGAACTGATGAAGGCCCTTACACCAACAGAAAAATACAATACAGGTTAGAGTGGCAATAGGCTCTTCTGTAAAGGAAAAAGCAGCACAGTGTCATGGGAGACAGCAGCCAGTCTTGACCTCACTGCAGAAAATAGTCATGACAAGGACTCTCGTTTGTTACATGAGGACCAGATAGACCAGAACGCAGGTGAACAGTAGAGGCAGATGGCCATGTGTGAGGAGGGATTATTACTGTAGGAAAAACCTGCATCAGAGGAAAAGAATACAGAGAATGAGGAGTGCAGAGAGGAACATCTGCAGAGATAAAAAAGGACATACACTCAAAGTGGGAGGAATCCAGGCACCTCCAGTGAGATCTGCTGAGTTGACGCAGTGTTGTTGCAGTGAAGCCTTCATCTATCTTCAGACAACAGTCACGGCTTTTGCAGCTCACCCTATTCAAAGCTCAGGATTTCTAGATTGCGCTTTTTTTTTTTTTTTTCCTCCTTTTCTTTGATTAACCAAAACTACAGAAGCAAACCCATGGTCCAGGTTGGTCCTTCTCAGGGAGAAACTATCCTGACAAGGCTTGTATAGGAAAGTAAGATTACAAATGGAGAAAACCTGAGACACACCCAGGCTCCAAATGCTAATTAACACAATCTCTTGAGAAAACATTTCCTCTGAGTCTACAACAACTTAATGCCCCAGGCACACCAGCAAGAGGGAGTGAAGAAAGGCTATTTCTTATTCCTCACTCTTGGAGAAGCACGGAAGGAAAGAACACCCCTCTTGTCACTTACACTCTCCTTCTTTCTCCAGGATGAGGCATATTTTGTTTCTTGAAGGGGAACATTTGCTAATTGTTGCTTTTTGAGCAGCTTATGCACTACTAACACTCCCTGAGCAGGGGAGGCTGTGGCCTGCCACAGAAACGTGTCTTCACAGGGTACCAGCCAGGGCCAGGTGTTCCCATCCAGCTCTCCCTAGTGTCTGCCTGACAGCTGAGCCAGCCATGGACCGAAAGGACAGGAGAAGCTCACAACTGCTTCCTGCAGACAGAAAGCACCCCGCTGAAGCCAGGCAATGACATGAAGATGCAAACAGAAAAGGCCTCTTCAGTTCTAGTTAGCTCACAATCCATCAGATACCATGGACCCGAGCCTTGTAAAGAGCTTTTGATCTTTGTTAATTTGTTAAATTAAATTTCCCAAGTGTACTTGTTTCTAAGGAGATTCCCATCCGCATGGAGAATGGCTACCTTTCTGACACCTCTGAATCCCTTTCTTTTCTCTTGATTTTTGAAAGAGGCTTAAACCCTCATTAGGGTCTGAGCATATTTCTGAGAGGCAGGATCACCCTCAGACAGTTCTTGCTGAGGGTGCTGCAACCTTGCTTCCCTCATCAGTGTCCCTCAGGAGGTTATCAGCATCACTTACATAGCTAGCTGACCACAGACAGTCCCCCAAATTCTGCTTGATGAGCATCTGTTGATTTATCCAGCTGTTCTCAAGCATTTTCAAGCCATGCTTCAATATCTTGGTCTTCTCAAGTCATAGTTCCCTGCCTGCTGATCTGCATAAGCTCATCTGAAATGATTCAGCTATATCACATACCCCCATTTGTTTTATTCAGTGCCCACCTTCAGCACCTTGTAATTGAGTTCAGTTTGTGGTTAATTTCCTTTGTACCTGTGTCTTCACTTGCTTATCTGTATTCTTCTAAGAGGATTTAGGGATTTCTTAGTATCTGCAAAAATACCGAATCTATTCATTCCAGAACTGAATACGATTGTGGATCTGTGAAACCCACATGAAAGTATTCTGTGAATATACACCTTGAATGATATTATATTGGCTCTCATATCTTCTGAAGTTGCCAATTACTGATGCCTTCCATGCTTGCCTGGCTTTCCTTTCTTCACTCTTCAGTTTCATAGATATGACAAATATATTTCAAAGCTACAATCAAAAATAATCTGAACTGTGAACTGTACAACAATAAAAAAATCACCAACGTCATGTAAATAAAAGCAATAGCATTAACTGCATGAGGAAGTCCAATATTGTGGCTTTTTCTGTTTGGCAACTATTTAGAAAAACTACTCATACGGAACAGTAGGCATGTATTAAAAAGCCTCCACTAAATCACACAAATGAGTCAGTCCAATGTACCACTTGTGACTCACAGATGATCTGCCGTGGCAACAAATAAGCCCCACTGAAGATGCTGCCTTCCAGATGAAATACAACCCTTAATTTGCAGTTGCTAATGATGACCCATCACTTCTTGCTCTAATTACCAGAGGCATTAAGTCTGTTGCATTAGCTGAAGCATGTACTTGGGTCAAGAGAGAGTACCAAAACAAATCATCCCAGTAGATTTAATAATCTCTGACAGTTCTCTTGCCTTCTTAAACTGTTGCCCCATTTCTCCCCATTAGTGGATTAAGTGACTGTACAAAATGAATAATTGTAGCTTGAATCCCCTATAACATTTATGCTGTAACAGTCTTTAGCAGTGATGGTTCAGTACTGTTCAGAGTATCCATTTGGAGGATACTAGCATAACATAATCATGCTTTTTTGGGGCACAAGTTCTGTGAATTTATTCGTGGGTTGTTTTTTTTTTCACTTTGTCTTTTAACAAGTAGATACAGGCGAAGGGGATGCTTCAATGACAAAAGCCTGGGATGGACTATAGGGAAAAGAAAGTG